AGAGTGTTCTTGGTTGTAGGTTTCTCCCTCTCATTACTTCAAATACATCATGTCACTCCCTTCTGACCTGCAGAGTTTCTGCTGAGAAATCAGCTGAATGTTATGGGAGTTCCCTTGTATGTTTTTTTGCTGCTTTTCCCTTGTTGCTTTTAATATTTTTTAAAATTTTAATTTAATTTTTGTCAGTTTGAAATCTATGTGTCTCATGTGTTTCTCCTTTGGTTTATCCTGCCTAGGACTCTCTGCACTTCCTGGACCTGGGCAACTAATTCCTTCCCCTGCTGGGGAAGTTTTCGGCTATTATCGTTTCAAATATTTTCTCAAGGTGTTGTCCCAGAGGTCTTTTAGACTGTCTTCATTTCTTTTCATTCTTTTTTATTTTGTTTCCTGGGAGTGATCTTCACCACCTTGTCTTCCAAGCCAGTTATCTGTTCTTCCTCAGTTGCTCTGCTATTGATTCCTTGTAGTGTTATCTTTCATTTCAGTTACTGTATTGTTCATCTGTTTGTTTGTTCTTTAGTTCTTCTAGATCTTCTTTAGTCTCTTCTCAACATATGCCTCCTGTTTTTCCCCAAGATGTTGGATCATTTTCACATCATTACTCTGAATTCTTTTTCCATTAGATTGCCTATGTCCACTTCACTTAGTTGTTCTTCTGGGGTTTTATCTTGTTCCTTCATCTGGGATGCATTCCTTTCCCGTCTCATTTTGTCTAACTTTCTATGACTGCAGTTTCTATTCCACAGGCTGCAGGGCTGCAATTATTCTTGCCTCTGTGATCTGAAATCGGGTGGATGAGGCTAAGATGCTTATGCAGGCGTCCTGGTCAGAGCAACTGGTTTCTGTCCACTGGTGGGTGCTGGTTCTTGCCCCCTGGTGGGCAGGGCCATGCTCAGGATGTTAAGCGGCCTGTCTGCTGATGGGTGGGGCTGTATTCCTGTCCTGTTGACTGCTTAGCCTGAGGTGTCCCAGCACTGGTGCATACAGGCTGTTATACTCTATGTGGCATTCTCAGTATTTTTTTTTTTTTACCTAGACTACCACTGATTAATACTATACATTACCTATATTATGAAAAAAATAGACTTGTAGCCCTGAAATGAGGTCTTAACCACAAATTACAACACAATTTGTATGGAAAATGCATTCTAAAAATATTCAGACACAAGACTGAGCCAGAAAAAGATAGAAAATATGAACAGACCAATCACAAGTACAGAAATTGAGTTAGTAATTTAAAAACTGCCCAAAACCAAAAGTCTAGGACCAGACGGTTTCACAGATGAATTCTATTGAACATTTAAAACCCGTTCTTCTGAAATCATTTCAAAATACCTGCAGAGAAAGGAACACTACTGAACTCATTCTGTGAAGCCAACATGACCTTGATACCAAAACTAGACAGAGATATCACACAAAAAGAAAATGACAGGCCAATACCACTGTTGAACATACATGAAAAAAATCCTCAACAAAATACAAGCAAATTGAATCCAACAGTATTTTTAAAGGATCATACATCATAATTAAATGGGATTTATCCCAGAGATGTAAAGATTTTTTAATACCAGCAAATCAATGTGATACACCACATTAACATGCTGAATAAAAAATTTCATATATTTCAACAGATGCAGAAAAAGGTTTTGATGAAATTCAACATCCATTTATGATAAAAACTCTCTAGAAAGATGGCATAGAGGGAACATACCTCAACGTAATAAAGCCTATATATGACAAACCCACAGCTAATATCATACTCAACAGTGAAAAGCTGAAAGCATTTCCTCTAAGATCAGTAACTACACACCCGTGCCACTTTTATTCAACATAGTTTTGCAAGCTCTAGTCACAGCAATCAGAGAAGAAAAAGAAATAAAAGGAATCCAAACTGGAAATGAAGAAATAAAACTGTCAATGTTTGCAGATGACATGATACTATATACAAAAAATCCTAAAGACACCACCAGAAAACTACTCGAGCTTATCAAGGAGTTGGTAAAGCTGCAGGATATACAAGAATCAGTTGCATTTTTATGTACTAACATCAAAAGACAGAGAAATTAAAGACATAATCCCATCTACCATCATATCAAGAAGAATAAAATACCTAGGAATAAACCTACCTAAAGATTTACTTCAAAAATTATAAGATGCTGAATTCAAAGAAGTTGAAGACAACATAAACAGATAGAAAGACATACTGTGTTTCTGGACTGGAAGAACTGATACTGTCAGAATGACTATACTTACCCAAGGCATTCTACAGATTCAATGTAATCTGTATCAAAATCACCAATAGCATTTTTTGAAGAACTATAACAAATAATTTTAAAAATTTGTATGGAAACACAAAAGACCCTGAATAGCCAAAGCAATCTTAAGAAAGTACAGAGCTGGAGGAATTGAGACTCCCTGACTTCTGACTATACTACAAAGCTACACTCATCAAAACAGTAAAGTATTGGAACAGAAACAGACACATAGATCAATGGAAAAAGACAGAAAGCCAAGAAATAAACCCATGCAGTCATGGTCAATTACTCTACAATAAAGGAGGCAAGAATATATAACAGAGAAAAGACAGTCTCTTTAATGAGTGGTGCTGGGAAAAATGAACTGCTACATCTAAAAAAATGAAACTAGAACATTATCTAACACCATATACAAAAAAAAATGTATTAAAGACCTAAATATAAGACTCAATACCATAAAATTCTTAGAGGAAAACATACGCAGAACACTCTTCAACATAAATCACAGCAATATTTTTTTTGGATCTGTATCCTAGAGTAATGCAAAAATAAACAAATGTGCTATAATTAAAATTATACATTTTTGCACTGGAAATGGAAACCATAAATGAAATGAGAAGACAGCCTACAGACTGGGAGAAAACATTTGCAAATGAGGGAACCAACGAGCTTAATTTCCAAATTACAGAAACAACTCATACAAGTCACTAACAAAAAACCAAACAACTCAATCAAAAACTGGACACAAGACCTACATAGACATTTCTCCAAAGACAACATACAGATGGCCAACAGGCATGTAAAAAGACATTTAACATTGCTAATTAGAGAACTGCAAATCAAAACTACAGTGCATATCACCTTATACTGCTCAGAATGATCATCATCAAAGTCTACAAATAATAAATGCTGGAGAGGGTGTGGAGAAAAAGGGAACCCTCCTACACTGTTGGTGGGAACGTAAACTAGTGTAGCCACTATGGAAAACAGTATGGAGGCACCTTAAAAAACTAAAAATAGAGTTATCATATCATCCAGCAATCCCACTCCTGAGCATATATCTGGAAAGGACTCTATTTTGAAAAGATGCACGCACCCCAATGTTCATAGCAGCATTATTCACAATAGCCAAGACATGGAAGCAATATAAGTGTCCACTGACAGATGAATGGATAAACCACATGTGGTATAACCCAATGGAATATCAGTCAGCCATGAAAAGAATGAAAAAATGCCCTTTAAATTGGATGGACCTAGAGATACTAACTGGAGAAGGCAATGGTAACCCACTCAGGAGGGTTGCAACCCAGTACCAGGAGAAGACTGGTAGGCTGCAGTCCATGGGGTCGCTAGGAGTTGGACATGACTGAGCGACTTCACTTTCACTTTTCACTTTCATGCACTGGAGAATGCATGAATGAGAATGGCAACCCACTCCAGTGTTCTTGCCTGGAGAATCCCAGGGACGGCGGAGCCTGGTGGGCTGCTGTCTATGGGGTCGCACAGAGTGGGACACGACTGAAGTGACTTAGCAGCAGCAGTAGCAGAGATACTAACTGAAGTTAAGCCAGAGAAATACAAATGTCATATGATATCACTTATATGTGGAATTAAAAACAAATGACACAAATGAACTTATTTACAAAACAGAAACACATTCACATAGAAAATAAACTTCTGCTTATCAAGGGAGAAGCAGGGGAGGAAGGCAGGGATAAGAAAGCAGTCTGGGATTAACAGACACATGCTAGTACACATAAAACAGATAAACAGCAAGGACCTACTGTGGAGCATAGGGAACTGTATTCAATACCTTGTAACAAACTATAATGGAAAAGAATCTCAAAAGAATACACACACACATAGAAAAAACCAAATCACTGTGCTGTACATCTGAAACTAATACAAGACTGTAAATCAACTGTACTTCAATTTAAATAAATAAATAAGTAATATTTTGAAATATAACCTATAACCCACCTCTAAGTTAGAGAAGGTATATTAATTTACAACATGAGAGCATAAGCCCCCAATGGGTAGATACCTCATTTTCCTCATCTTTACCCATCATTGTATGGCACAAAGAAGGTACAGCTGGAAAAGTAAATGAGCTGAACATGTGAACTATTATGAAAATTCAACTCCCTGTTCTGCTTATTTCAATTTTTCCAGCCTTAGCAGATAGATATAACTATTCTTTCCAGAATATACAGGCAGTAGCTTTCTACACAGAACGATTTCATTCAAGGCACTATTTACAGGCCAATATGAAAATTGTTGACTGATGGCCAATAAGCCTTCTAGGTTCCTCCAGATTCCTTACTGCTGGCTTCACTATGTTCCTAGCTCCTGAACCAGTTATTTGTTAGACATTATGTTCTAATATATTATTTCTCCATCCATGTAAATCCAAGGAGGGTGTTTCCCTCAGTTTTACCCTAAGCTAGTTTCTTAAGCATAGGCTGGGGGAAACTGGGCTAAATGGATATTAAAATTAAGATATCATATATCACCATCATATGAACACTGTTAAAACACATCATAAATAAAGTATTTTACTCCTTTAAGAAAAAACAGTTCTACTCAGGAAGTAGAAACTACAAACTTTCTATTCATTTCTATAAACGATAAACATTTCTATAAAACATTCATTTCTCAAAAGAAATGATTTATCTTAAAACATTACTTTAACAAATATGACCTTTTTAAGACACGTATATATTATTTCAGCAAAAACAAACTTACTCATTGTCTTGCATAGTAGATTCCTTTCTTTTGTTTATACTGAGGTGATTCAAGTTTTCCCTCTTTCCTATATGTGTGCAATAAAAGGAACATAAAGTTAAAGCAAAACTGTCAAATTTTAAATAGAATTTAGGTCACCAAATTTTAAGTAAAAAATAAAAGGGTAGATAAATGAAAGAAGAGTAGTTAATGAAAAAGCATCCTGAAAATTTGGTATGAGAAACTTTTTTCAGTATTGTGAAGAACTTTGCAATAGGTACTTTGTTTCTTTTTTTATTTTCCATTCTAATTTTTTATTCATGATTATAGTATATAGAAGAAACAATCTTTTGAATAAAATTTCTATCAGGGCCTGGTATATTAAAAAGAAAAATTAGATAAACCCAACTTGATAATATAAACTCTACTTGATAAAGGATGCTTTCATCAAATATTTTAATAAAAATTATTAAAGTTTCCAGTTTATATTATTTAACTCCTATTTTTTTGTCTCACAGTTAACAAGGAATTGTTGATACTAATATTTAGAAAATAGTGAGTTCCTCATGATAGCACAGTAAATTAAGTACAGTTTTAGGGACAAAACTACCTGACTGCTTAAATGCTAAATGATTTAGTAAACTCTTCGAAATACCTTTAGTCCTATGAAGATATTTCAAATACTGCATGGAGTCATTTATAAGTGGAATTTAAAAGAATACAAATGAATTATATACAAAACTGAAACAGACTCACAGAGAAAACAAACTTGAGGTTACCAAAGGGGAAAGCGAAAAGGGGAGGGACAAATTTATGGTTTAGGATGAATTAGACACAGACAATTATATATAAGACAGTGAGATACACTGTATAGCATAGGGAATGATACCCATTATCTTCTAATAAATTGCAATGGAATATAATCTGCAAAAATACTGAATCACTATACTGTAAATCACAATACTGTAAATCAACTTTTAAACTTCAATTGAAAAGTGCATATTGACTTAGGTATTTCTTGGAAAGATCTTTGGTTCCTACTAAAATATTTTATCCATTAAAGTACATATTTTAGATATTAATAAAATAAATTCTATCCACTTAAAAAACTATGTAGTTATTCAATGCCATCACTTAGCTAAACTTTAACAAGTTGACAGAAACAGAAACAAAAATGTAACTAAGTTATAATCCCTCAAATGTGTGATGGTTTGAAATGTAAGTTTGCTTTTATAGTATTAATAGAACATGATGTTTGCACTTATTAGTAGTCAAGGAATCAACTGTTTTAAGAGCTAACCATTTAGTTGTTCTACAGTACTTTACAGTGCTATATGCACAATATATGTTAAACATATTCAATGTATGAGTACTTGACACATTAGCATAGTTACGAGATTCTCAGTGTTTTACATATACTGGCCTTTTACTGAATGAATAAAGAAGCAAATGAATGAATAATCCAAGCTCTTTACTACTAATGAAAATCAGTAAAGAAAATTCACTTTTTACAATGTACAAACACTGGCACCTTCTCACACTACACATTTTAATATAGCTCCATTTGCTCAACAACTGGTAGTTACTATTTTTCTAAAAAATTGTTTGGCACAATGCACCATGAAAAACAAGCTCACACTCTCCAAAAGAAATATAATATGAGCCACTTATGTAATTTAAAATCTACTAACAAAATTTTTACAAAAGGAAAAAGAGTCAAATTTGAATATTTGATTTAACCTAATACACCCAAATATTCTTATATTAACACATAATCAATATAAATTATTAATTATACATATTACTTTTTCCACACTAAGATTTTACTATCTGGTGTGTATTCTTACACTTATAGCACATTTCAATTCATATCAGTCCCACTCCACATGTTCAACATGTACATGTACTGAATGGCATAGTTCTGGATAATACTGCAGGAGGATCCAATACTTTCAGATGAAACCAAATACATAGATAACATGAAGGCAACTTCTTTAAAATTTAAGTGTGATTTATTAACACATTAAAAAATACATTGTCTGGAACAGACTATCCATTGCTGATTTACATTGTTTTCTTCACTAATTTGTATTCCATTACTCTCATTTGCTTCTATTTCTAGAGGAAATTGACTGAGGTGGTTCAGAAACTACTTTAACAATAATTTCCCTTGTTGTTATTTTGGAACTTATGCCTTCTCTCAAAAAAATTGTCATAACTAAATTGTTATCTCATAATAGTCTTTAATGCCCAAAACAGAAAAACTTGTGGTCTAGAAATTTTGCTAAAGTCCTAGTTACCTCTCTTGTTATTAACTTTTCATTATTTGATTTGTTGGCATCCTTAAATTCCAAATAGAATAAATCAATATGGTTAAGAGTTTATTTAATAAAAGATGAATGGGAAAAGAGTAATAATATTTTACTTATGATTTCAGAGAACTCTGGGGAAATAAGTCTATTAAAATCTCTCAAAAAAAGTATTTTTAATAGAAAAACCACAAATGAAAACTACACTATATACTTTTATTTCATAGAACAGTATTAATCTTAAAGATTAATACCAACTTCCTGAATTTTGAATTAAGCTATTTCCAATGAATAAAGCTCCACAATATTACTTTGTTCTTTTAACCTGTAATTATTTTTCACATTTTAGCACAAGCAGTAAGTAGTGCTAGGTGAGAAACAGCAAAAGACTGCTTTATTTCAATTTTCACCAGGTGTTTTAGGCCTTTCTAAACATTCTGATCATTGTAAGGGGATCAGTCAGGTATCACAAACTATAAAACATAATTAATAGCATTAAGTTCACTCTTCTCACGGAAGGACTTATGTTTTTTCTTCTACAGATATGTATATATAAAATCTGATTTATTTATGCTCGGCTGTGCTGGGTCTTTGCCGCCGTGCAGGCTGTCGTCCAGCTGCAGTTACTGGGGATACTCTCTAGTTGCACGAGGCTTCCCACTGTGGTGGCTTCCCCTGCTGTGAAGCATGGCCTCTAGGGCACACTGGCTTCAGTAGTTGCGGCTCGAGGGCTTAGTAGTTGCAGTTCCTGGGCTCCAGAGGGCAGGTGCAAAAGTTAATGAAATTATTTGCAGGGCAGCAATGGAAACACAGACATAGAGAACAGCCTTATGGACACGGGACGGGGGTGAGAACGAACAGGATGGGATGCAGGGAGACGGTTACATGGCAACCTGCATTACTGTATGTAAAATAGACGGCCAATGGGAATTTGCTGTTATGACTCAGGGAACTTAGAGTCATAACAACTCTAACAACTTAGAGGGGTAGGATGGGGACGGAGATGAGAGGGAGGTTCAAGAGGGAAGAGACGTATGTATTTCTATGCCTGATTCATGTTGATGTTTGACAGAAACCAATAAAATTCTGCAAAGCAATTATCCTTCAATTAAATAAATTTAAAGAAAGTTGTGGCGCAGGTTTAGTTGTTCTGAGGCATGTGAGATTTTCCCAGGTCAGGGATTAAACCCAGGTATCCTGCATTGGTAGGCACATTCTTTACCATTGAGCCATCAGAGAAGCCCCCAGGATTTATGCTTTTAAATAACAGACATTTCAATTGATAAACAGGAGGAGATTTAACGTCTCAAAGAATAACATTTGGATCGTTTATCAAAGACTACTGAATGGACTCTATCACACCAAGAGTTTTCCACTTATTTAATAATCACTTTTCCTTATTTCGTTCCATTTTATTAGCAATTAACATACGCTAAAGTACTGTGGATTCTATGTACTCTTTTCCTTGCTACACTATACATGATTAATAATTGTGTACTTGATTCCCTTTAAATGTAGTTTCACAAAACACTGGTGATAAATGTAACATCACTGAATTGGGACTGCTTTAAAAATTGTATTTGGACTTTCTGGTAAGGCTCCCAGAAGCCCTTTCTTGAACTAATGAAGATAGCTTTTGATAGATAATAATGATAATAATGTTTAGAAGTACAATCAACAATGGTGATGATGATGGCTAACAGTTAAAAAGTGCCTTTAGGGCCAGGCACTGTTTTAAATGCTATATTAATTAGTTAATCTGCACACCTCTGAGATAGTCATTCTTATTCCCATTTTACAGATGAGACAACAAATGCACAGAATGGTCATAAAATTTATCTGAAGCTCCAATGCTAGTAAGTGGTATAGTCAGGATCTAAATCCAGCCATTTGACTACAAAGATCATTCTATTAGCCAAGATGCTATGATTACTTACTAATAAATTAATTTAAATTTCAAGCAGGTTTAGGCCAGTATCATGCTGCTTCTTGATAAATATACTTTACACTTGGCACATCTCAGGGATCTTTTGGTCCTAAACCAGAAGTTAAGAATTGAGGAAAACCTTGATGCAGAGAGGTTTAAAATTACTTGTTTAAGGTGTCAAAAACTAAAATTTTTTTTCTGAGTTATTCCAGATCAAGTTGGAGTCTGGAGGCTAAGCGATGAATAAGATCCTATTATTCTTTCAATTGAACCATTTCTATGTAATATTTTTCTGTTTATATTTTTATTTCCCTCTACCTCTTATGGTTTGTTCTACTGTTCTTTTTACATTTTTCTGAGTTGAATGTTCAGCTTGTTAGTTTTTAGTCATCCTTTTAAAATATATGCATTAATAAATGTAAATCCACTATGAATGCTTTCATTATCATGACAAGTTTTGGTATAAATTTTTTCCTCTAAGTGCTGACACATTTTTATTATCACTCCAGTCTAAATATTTTATACTTTATAACAAAAAAGATACTCAAATAGCCAAAGTCTTGAGAAAGAACGAAGCTAGAGTTTCACGCTCTGATTTCAATGTAAGACCTGAAACCATGAAACCATAAAACTTCTAGAAGAAAGCCTAGGCAGTAAGCTCCTTGACATCAGTCTTAGTATTTATTTTTTGGATATTATCTTCTCAGGCAAGGGAAACAAAAGCAAAAATAAATAAATGGAAATATATCAAACTAAAAAAGTTTTGCATAGTAAAGGAAACTACTGTCTACTGAATAGAAAAAGATAATTCAAAATGATATGTCTAGTAAGGAGTTAATATCACAAATATAC